AGACTAGCATACGGGTACTAAAGCTAATCCCACCCTGTAAATTTACACACATGTTTTTCTGAATGGGAAATAAATTGCTTGTAAGAATTTAATTTTAGCATAAAGGGAAAGCTATATTATATATGAGGCATCATGAGTGTTCAAAAAAAAAAAAAAGAAGTGATTTTGCACAGCTAGATCTTCTATCTGGGATATTAAAAATATATCTATTTCTGAAAAAAAAATAAGCATTTAATTATTTGACAGTCTTCATGGACTTGTTTTGATCCCAAACTCCATAGTTTCATTATTTTGTTTTGTTTTTTTCTGAAAGAAAACACAATAATGTCAGCATTCAGTGCACAGGTTTGTACGGCAGAGAATACATGAAATGGGTTTCACCCATCCCCTTGTTATCTGTAGAGTAAAAGTTTTAATAAAAGTTTGAGATTCCTAGACACTGTCACTGAGGCAGAACCTTTGTAAGACTTGCTGGAAGAAAATTGAAAGGCTGCCTTTAAAGTGTATGTGAAGCTTTCACTGCCTTTGCTTTGCTCGCACTTTAACCATGATCGGCTCCCTTGAGGTCAGGAGGGCTTCTTTGTTGAGGATTCATTTTTTCAATTTCAACTTTGCAAAAAGCCACGCAGCAGCACACCTGACCTATCTAAAGATCCGTGTAAGCCTGCTGCTTGAGAACCAGGAAGACGAGCAGGAAGAGAAATGTTCTCGAAATCTTGCCGTTGCTAACCTTACTCCAAACGGGTGAGACGAGGAAGAGAAAAAGCAGAGCGAGCGGTACAGACGACACCGTTACTCGTCTTTGCTAAATTTGCACTTTCCCTCTCGTTTCTCACCATCGCAGCTGCTTGCTCTCAGCACGGGGCTGGTGGACGCCCCATGCAGCACGGCACAGTAATAAGAAGAAATAAGCTACTGGGGAAAATTATTCAAAAAAAAAAAATCAGTTTGCAAATGAGATGGGGAGCGTAGAGGGTGACTTGGAAGTGGGGGGTTCACAGGAATAGGTTGATTGTTTTTTTCCTTCTTGGAGCTGTGAAATGTGCAAAAGCCAAGGTCCTGGGGGTGTTGAAGGGACTTTCCCAGCAGCAGCGCTGAGATTTCACTCTCCCTTTACTTCCTCTCCCAGCAACTGCGTCCTCCCTCCCTCCCTAATTCCCTGGAGCTGGCCACCCTCAGAACAGCTTTGTACAATTCCTGCCCCCTGTAAGGAATGAGACTTTTGTCACCCACAGCTGGAAACTCACCCTGAGCCCAGCCCAGCGTTTTTCCTGCCACCTTTCGGTCCTCTCCCCCTCCACAGAAGAAAACCAGTCACACCCACGGTTACCCAACGGGTTTGCATTTGACTAGTCAGATCTCTTGCAGCCAGGTGAGTATGAACCCTGAATTGTTTAATAAGGCTAAGAAACAATTATTGGCCTAACACAGCATAAAATAAACCCACTAACGGCCAGCTTACAAAACAGCCTGGCGTGTGTGCTGCACACTGAAGCAGAACACACTGGTCAGAGGCTTTAATTTCTTTCCTTCAGCTACAGAAAGAGTGATTAGGGCCAGCCTTCGGGTGACAGGCTGGCCTCTGCCCCTGCCCAGCATAATTTCTGCGTGTTGAAACTGTCTCCTCCTAGTGTTCCAGGCAACCTGCTTCAAAGTGCTGAGGTCTGAGGCTGTTGCTGTTGACACGGGAGACACAAGAGACATCTCTGTCGTGGGGAAAGCATCACACAGAAATGTTGTCAGTGCAGGGAGACACAACAGCCACATAGCCTTTCTCTGCTTTAATCAAACGCTCCTTGTGAGACCTTCAAGAAAATACAGGTGAAACAATGGCCCAGGACTGTTAGATGAAAATATTACATTCTCATAAAACATACAATCCCTCTCTTCAATGCACTCCTGCTTTCGGCAGTATTTCCATGGGAGAGGTGGTCTGGTTTACATCAAAACTCTTCAGAGTAACACAAGCCAAAGGAACAATCTTGGTGTCTGTTCTAGGTCCAGCCTGGGCTCCTTAGCACTTTTAGGAATGATCCTCGTTCTTCCCAGGCACCAAGGGTAGACCAAGACCCAACTTGTTTGTCAGCACCTTGAAGGACAGGCTGGATCTCGTCAGGCACTGCGCTCTCTCAAATGAGCCAGGAATAGCGGTCAAAATCTCAAATTTGACCAAGTTTTCTGCTTCCAGAGGGAAGCTGAGCTAATTACTAACTCCCAGAGCATCTAGGGAGCCTGGCAGAGCAGAGAAGGTCGCTCAGCATTCACCTGAGCCTGGCTTAGACTTTGGAAGCAGAAAAAATAACCCTTGGCTCACCAGTACTAAACACAACTACGCTGCTGAATCCTTCTCTCCCACCAATAATGCTGGCCTTGCTTTTTCTCCTCAGTATAGAACTGAGTTCATTTTTTGAAGCTTATTTTACAGTTCAAGGTAGCTTTAGCAATCCTAATTCTGGTTGCAATTTAGAGGTGGTATTTTCTTTCGTACTGATTAATCTGTTAAATAAATATGCAAATATGTCGAGTGCTCTCTATAAAAAATACATACACACAACATAAAAACCCTCAAAATAATAAAACCAAGATTAATAAAAACATGTACTATATTCCACATGAAATGGCCATCTAGTTTTTGAAACTATAATGAAACTTAATTACCCATGAATCACATGACATAATCTAAAAAGAATCAGCATATATAAAATAATGGTATTGCCTCTGTAAAGAGAACTTGAGCATCTCCCTATTAAGAAATATAAAACTAAGCCAACTGGTGTTGTATGTGCATTTATAGCTACTGAATATTAGATCAATTAGGAAAGAGTTTGTTGATTTCCCCATTAAACATCAGAACAGGGAGATGAATAACACGCTGTAACTTTTTTCTTTTTTTTTTCCAACGAAAAATTTAGCCTTCAAGACAGTGAAACATATCCTTCTGCTTGAGATCTGTATTCAATCAGAGTTTAGAGAGAGGAATAGTTTTTACTGGGGAACTCCATACTCAGCAAAATAAGTACATAACACCCGTTTAAACACAGCCTTCAGCAGGTCGTTTCGATTTATAGTGGCGAACAGAAACGTCACAGGAATTAAACTAAAATCAATGCACAGAGTCTACAGGCTCTCCTGCATAAAAATACAAGAAAGGACTGAGAAGCTTGACAGCGGACCGATGGTGTCAATCCCCTCGACTCCTTCAGCCTCGGCTTCTTCGAATGCCTTTGGCCCCCGAGCTGGGTGACACTTTACGGGTGGCACGCACCGACCTACACCAGGTCAGAAAACGTCCTGTGCGTTCTGCAGAAGCACACCTTGTCTTGAGACCTTCTGCCTCGGCATAAATTGTCCCTGAGGAGATCTGCCTGCAGACAGCGGGACACCGAGCCACCGATGAAACACGCAGGGAACTGCTGGAGGATTGTGACCGAGAAATAGAATCAACAATCGTGTACATCCCAGAAAGACCAGTGCCAGCTAATTTTAGCGCTTGGCCGGCTGAACCCTCCAGATTGCTGCAGGTGGAGAACACAAAACAGCGTGCTTTAGCAGGACAGCTTCAAAGGCAGGTGCTACGGTCAGTGAATAGTAACCCTGCTCTCCGTCCCTCCACCGACACAGACCGCGGCTTGCAGCTACCTTACATGGCTTTTACTTGCATTTTTCTTGAGGCAGTCTGACAAGAAGTCACCCTTCTCCTTCCATTCCAATGCGCTTTCTTTAAGACGGCACAGACCACTGGTAGAAAATAACTTTCTTTCTGACGATTTATATCAATATAATGCACAGCATCATAGCTTAATACAAATACTTTACATAACACACGTAAGGACAAAAGAAAAGCATATAACAATGCAGCTGCAGCTACTTTATTACATTACATGGCTGGGAGAGTTTCCTTTTCTTTGATCTTTTCTACAGAATTTGAACTTCTGGTACCAATTAGCAAGAAATGTTTCTTGTGGTATTTTTAAAGAGCAGAGGGAAAAACACGGATGAGATAGAATTCAGAGGGAGTGAGTGAGACCTTTTAAAACATCAGCAAACTGCTGCAACATAGTAGCTACAGGGGAAGGTTAATTGGGTTCAGCATCTCCTCAGTAAACGAAGGAGAGAGACCTGTTCTTCAGAAATAAGCTGCTGCCCTCTTCCCTAATCATCTCCAACCGCTTGACTTGTGCATGTGGGATAGAGCTGGGGTTGTTCCATTTCATTCCTGACTGACTGGTTAAAAACCACACAAGCTATGGCCAGTGAAAGAAGGATGGGGTAGAGAAACAAACACCTCAAAAACTCAAGGATAACTGTACAGATTGTTAGGACAATAAAGTATAGAAGTTTATTAGGTATCTGTTGAGGTTTTCCCACTCTCAAGAAGACTTGCTGTATGCCCACAGACATTTTAAAAACAGAGATAAATAAATTTTGTCCTTCTGGGTTTCCCTCAGTGCAGACCAAGTCATAAATCATTAGAAACTGTCACTTTTTGTTTATGCTAGCAGGCAGAACACACCTACTGCTCCTCCTGGCTGGAAAGCATTTCTGAAGGATTCTGGTGCTTTAGACATTGTATAGGCGTTCTTTTTGGTTTAAACTTGATTTTTTGCTCTTGACGTTTGTTACTCACTTATGCTGGTGCCACAGCAAGTCTAGTACCTTAAATGCCTGTACGATGGAGTGACTGGATGCTTCTGCAGCTCCACACAGCAAAGACTCTCCCGCTGGGGAGCAGTGACGTGAGCTCATGTCCCTCCTAACGCTCAGGACACAGGGATGTCCCCTGCTTAGGAACTGGGAACCAAAAACATTGCGCAGCTCTTGGGGGCTTATTTTAGCAAATGTCAATTTTGTAACCCAGACATAATTTTAAGGCGATTAAAAATGAACCGAATTTATGTTGAACTATGCTCAAAAGACATCAGTAGCACAGCGCATCTGTGAAGTCCTGTCCAAGCTCCATGTGATTTCCCCAGCTCTCTCTGCTCGGTGACTTGGTAGCACTACACGCCACTCTTCATGTCAAGCTCCTGATGATTTTGTGTTTCATTAACGGTCAGGAATTCGTCACATGCTCCTGTTCGGTCATTTGACTGTTCTTTATGAACCAAGTGCACCATTTCTTGTGATTTGCTGGCATCTCCATTTAATCCACTGGTCTTCCTGTCCTCCACTGCCCCTTTGCCGTTGTTAATCACTAGTTTTTTCTTCTGACCACATCTAGAAAGAGTTAAGAAGAAAATGAGTACTATAAATGGAGACTAACAGAAGTAAAAATAAATAAATAAATCAACATTTAGGAAAAGGTGTTTGAACATGAAGCTTGTGTCTCCCAGTGCAGAAGAAATGAAACTTGAGTCTCACAGTGCAGTTACACAATGCAAAGTGTAAATTTTCACCACGTTGCATATCCTGTTTTTGAAAGCATCAAGCATCACATGCTTAATGTTCAGCAAGAGCTCACTTATTTGATTTGTATCTATCATCACTACAGGGAGGAATAACTTTAATTACTGAAAGGCAGAAAATATTTTCTAACATTGTGATACATCCACATTTTATGAACTTTGTATACATTCCGCTATAAGGGCAGGGTCATTCTAAATCCAGACTTGGGACTACACCTTTAAAACTGCTCTTTAAAAGGCCTCAGTTTCAGATGAGCTGGCATTCCCGTTCCGCATGCTGACAGCACAGCTACTGTGTAGATTTTCAGCATTTATCGGAATAGATAATCTAATCAGAAGACGGGGTTCTTGGCATATCCGTGTTATCTTTCGCATCTTGCAAAAGGCCACTTGTTTCAAGCACACCAGAGCACGTCCCTGCTCCAAAAAGGTTTCCTCGCAGCGAGAAAAACTCACATTTTCCGCACACATATTCCTAGTGTGTAACACATGCAGTCACACACGTACGTGCCCCCTCTTTGCAACTCCCTCCCAGCTGCGTGGAAGCTTGGAGTGAAAGACGTGCTTTCCATTAATGGTATCTGTGGCATAATTTACAGCTCAGAGACTGCTTCATTTCTTGTCAGATGCTATCTATAGCGGCCTGTTTTGTCTGTTCCTATGGTGACTCTGGGTTAAGAGGGAGGAAACAACGGCAGCCTCTGCTTTTAAAGGCGTGATAGAGTAATCTATAAATCAATAAGCAATGCTGTTCAGGCTGTGCAATTCCAGAATCATTTCACAGAAAGAAAGTTGAGGAGTTTCCTGTCTTACTGCATGACTGATAGCTTTCTTATTTCAATAGATCACTAGTACTGCTGTCAGAGGAGCACTGACACTGAGGATACAGTCACAGGGCAAAGGTACCAGGTGACATCTCACTACTGATTTCAGCAAAACTGGGTCAGTTTCCTCTTGTCTCACAACTTGGCCTTGAGCTGGCACCAGTTTGTCTCACGGAAGCCTTCTGCAGGGACTGCCTCACCGTCCCTCACCGTGGTGGCAGTACTTTATTCGAACACCCACTCCATGCTTCGGAGGACCCTGCTGTGGTTTCACAGCAGCATTAACATGTGCTTTCCTCCAACAGGCAGACTGGGAATAAATTTGCTCACTGCTCCCTGAACAAAAATCTCCCTATATTACATGGCTACTCTGATCAAAAAAAAAAAAAAAAAAAAAAAAGTTGGAATTCAACTTTCAAGTAGAAAATAGTTACTCTGTTAAAGGGTTCAACTTTAACTATCACGCAGCAAAAAGGTGTTTAAGAAAATTGAGAACTAACCTCAGAACACTCCTCAGAGAAAATAAAGAGTTAAAAACATTGCTGTCTATCCTTTAGGCTAGAGTTTCTTTCAAATTCCCTGGCTAATTTTGCACTGCAACTTTCTAGTCTTCAGCTTATTCATCTGTACAGCGGAGTAACTAAGTCTGCTGGGTGTTCTGACAGCCCCGTTAGAACACACCCCTGCGAGTGTCAGCAGCGATACTGCCTTTTGCTTGGAAGGAACAAACGGATCCTGCGACAGCAATTGTCCATCGCAGGCGTTCACGCTGGTGGAGGATTATACTCAGCTCAGCCCGTGGCTGCCCCTAAGTGCATCTCACACATGGTCGCCCTCAGTGGACAGTACTTTCCTATTAATAAGTAATAGCTATTGAATAATGACCTCTCTGTGATCTATAGATTTAAATTGCGCCAGGGGAGGTTCAGGTTGGATATTAGGCAGAATTTCTGTACTGAGAGGGTTGTCAGCCATTGGCACAGGCTGCCCAGGGAGGGAGTTGAGTCCCCGTCCCTGGAGGTTAAGAGATGGGTGGATGTTGCATTGGGGAATGTAGTTGATAGGGCTGGGACAAAGGCTGGACTCAATGATCTTCTGGGTCTCTTTCAGCTGAAACTATTCTACGATTCTATGATTCTGTGATTCTACATATGGTTAGGGGAGGACCGAGGGGCTTGTGTCACCACCAGCATCACCTGATTCCACATGAGTGTAAACATGCTGGAAGGCTGATGTGTGACCCGTTCAGGGTGCGATGATGGACCCTCACATCTCAAAGCACGCGGCTTCACAGAGGAAGCTCCCTCGTTCCGGCACTCTGCTGCCCTGGTCTTACGCGAAGCTTTGAATCCTCTCATTGAGGAAAACAGCAGGACAGAGGGTTTTGAAAAAGGGAAGAGGCTCCCTTACAGACTGAGACAGTTGGAGTTATTCAGTCTGGAGAAGAGATGGCTCCGAGGAGACCTTATTGTGGCTGGCCGGATCTCACAGGGGGTACAAGAAAATTGAAGCTGGAGATGGGTCGGTTCAGATGGGACGTGAGGAAGAAGTTCTTCCCCATGAGGGTGGGGAGACCCTGGCACAGGTTGCCCAGAGAGGGGGTGGTAGCCCCATCCCTGGGAGTTTTTCAGGCCAGGCTGGATGGGGCTCTGGGCAGCCTGATCTAGTGGGGGATGTCCCTGCCCATGGCAGGGGTTGGAACGAGGTGATCTTTAAGGTCCTTTCCAACCCTGACCATTCTATGATTCTATGGTTCTTACCTTCTCCGGCTGTTCACAGCTATGCACACTGCAAGGACCAGCGCCAGGGCCACGAGAGCAGCCACGATGATCAGCCACTCTGCGGGGAGAGTTGAGGGAGGGGAGGAGAGCAAGTGAACATCTCTCACGTGGCACTGCCACCTCACAGAACTGCAAGTACACAAGCTCCTTTACATTAGTTAAACCTACCTGGTACGTGGGCTGACCTTGGCTGTGAAACTATTGTCGTTGTGGTGGTTTCTCCAGGGAAAGTAGTAGATTCATAATGTCCCTTGTGTGATCCTCGATCACCATAGATACCAGAGGTAGGTCCTAAAGAAGAAGAGTTGGAAGGTTAGGCCAAATCTGCTTAGTGAAAATTTAACAGTGAGGTACAAAGACTACCACAATATAAAAAAAAAAAAAAAAGCCTATTCTAGAAAGTTCATGCTGAGGTCATTAAAAAGTATTTACACTGAAAGTTATAGATTATACTCATCTGCACTATGGCTAGTTTTAGTACTTTGAATAACAAAACTCATGGTGTTCCCCTCTTGTCTCATACGTTTCAGTTTTGGTTTACACTGCTTTTGTGAACCAAAATGCAATTATAATTGGCTAGAAATTTTCTGGAGGAAATAGAAAGACCTGAATGTTTTTGTCATGCCATGTGAATGTTTTTGTCACACAAATCAAACATCTTGTCTGTTCCATGGGGAAAAGAGAGTGAGAAAAGAAGGGAGAGAGGAAAAAAGACCCCAACTCTTCATTGCTTTATTTAAACTTAAAATGACTAATATGGGGAAGTTTTGAAGCTTCTAATGTTATTACTACACAGGATAAAACTGAATTTCTACTGTTCTAATGCTTCCATAAAATAGAAGAGTAGTTCTTTGAATGGTTTGAAATTTGATAGCTTTACAGTGGAACTTTAAAAATTTTAAATCTTTTTCCTAATAGAAGAAAATGCTCCCTGTAAACTTAGAGGTGGATCCCCTTGTCCTTTCTAATAAGTAAGTATTAAATGGTATGAAATCATAAATCAAAATGCATACTTATAGCCTTAAGCATTTGCTGTGCTGGCCACACCACTTGACCTTTTAAGCATAAACATTTCTGGCTCGTACTGTTGCTGTATGGGTCTCCCAAGTCTAAAATTGTCAGCAGACTATAGATACAGTGATTTTGTTTGGGATTAGTACTTCATTATCACAACAAAAAAAGATATTACAGATCTGCACCTCTCTGAATTTTTCCACACTCTTAAGCATTTACTCTAACCAGCTGTAAAGTTTTTTTCTTTAATACACATTGCAACTTATTTCTAGCCAGCATTTCTGATCTCATTTCCTAACAGCAGCTGGCAAATACAAAACCGAGAAGCGTGGTTTTTCCCCTCTGTTAATCTTAGCCAGTAAGTAGTTTGTGAATCTTCCAGATGTTTTCATAGTTTTTATTAAAATGGACCTTATTGACTGCCGAATTGTTTTGTGCTATCTCACCAGAGGTCTGAATACTAATTTAGCATCTAAGGGTCCTTGTCCAATCTCCAAGAAAGCTGAACATTCCGACTTGTCTACTCCACATCTCAGGAGATTATTATTATTTTTTTAAGTGCTTTATATCATCCTTGAGAAATGCCAGAGCTTTTCAACCACAAGAATCCCTTGGAAAGGCACTCAGACATTTATTAAAACTCGTGTGCTTGGAAAACTGTTGCATTTGCTAGCTCCCTCCCATGAGCACAGAGAAGAAGCAGCAGGATTCAGTCACGACTCCCGCTGTTCTGCCTCCAGGGAGGTGCCTGCAAGGGGCAGGGAGGGATCCTCAAAAGCTCTCTACATTTCATTTTGGTGACATATTAGATTTTTCTCTTTTTGACGGTTATTTTTTGGTTCCTTCAGCGGAATGATTTTTCATTCCATGGGCATTTGGATGACAGGCCAGTCATTAAAGCGATGCCAGACCACAGCTTAGACATTGCTGTAGGAAAAAAAAAGCAACGGAAAGAAAGCAATATAGTACATGGAGTACAAGAATGCATTTGTTCAGAGAAAATCTTTAGCTATAGTCTGCCAACATGTTCATGAATCTTTTGCATTCCATTACAGCTGTAGGGCAGAAGGTTACAAATGAATGACCTCTTCAATAAACAAACGTCTTTATGATAATGGTAGTGTCCTAGTAACTCCCTTGTATTGTCTTTTTTAAAAGCACCAAGAGAAGGCAAACGAAGAAGGAAGAGTTTTGGGAATAAGGGTTTATCAGTCTTTGCCATGGCACTGACAACACAAAGATTCACTGCAGACATTTACCTTAAAAATAATCTTGAAACCAGTTCTTACAGGTTTCATGTGCTCAAAATGAAAGGTGGCAAACATTTTTTCATAGTGTGTAATGTCTGCACATAAAATTAAGGAGGCAGCTTGGATTAATTTAGTAATAGGGCAACAAAAGTCAAGAAATGAGTTTATTGCAGCAGGAAACCATTTAGAAAAGTAAATTTATCTTTAAAATTACTGTTATGATGATTATTTCAATGGAAATTGCATTTGGGAATGAGGAAAGTCCACTTCATTTCCCGTACTACTATCATGTGTCCACACACACAAAAAAAGAAAGGCCATATGGGGAGTAAAGGCCGTTAACTGCACTAACTCTTATCAGAAGAATAACCCTTCAGAAAACGAGAAGTTGTTCACAAATGAAATGTCAGTTACAACCCAGTAACACAGCTGTAATTAAGCACTGGCAAGGTTTCAGCAGAAAATATACCTAGAAAAAAGGCTTCACCTTTCTTTTGACACATATTCAACTCAAGTAAAGGAAATAGGGGTGAGGGGAAAACTAACAGACAGTTCAGTCGTGCCCAGTGACAGCTGTGCTCAGTCAAAAAGAAAGACAAAATGCTATCGCATACATAGGGGCGATGAGAAGCAAGTTTATACTGTTTGCTTTCATAGTTGCATTATCGGATGCAGAGAACAGAATAAAAGAAAATGTCATTTGCAAAACACCGTTTTCGGCCTTTTAGCAAATGTCCTCTGCCTTGCGCAGGAAGAGATTCCCTTTAACGGCATCTTATAAGAAGATAATAAAAATAAAATTAAAAAAACAAAATTAAAAAGGAAATAATAATATGAAAATTATTTAAAGTTATGGTCAGTCCACACATTTTTGGATGATTGCCATTGTCCAAAATAATAACTGACTGATGGATAAATGAATATGCTCGTAATTCGCAGCTCTTACTAGTAGGAAGAGGGGTCTGCAACTGGTTCAGATGATCTTCAATATCCGGGAAAACTCCAGGTACCCAACTGCCGTGGGCACCATCTGTGGTGTTTGCTGGCTCGCTGTGGCTGCCCGGTGCAGTGCCACGTGCCGGCGGCTCCTCAGTTACTTTCTCCCGGTGAGTGTCATCCACGGCTTCCGTGACTGCCATGACGATGCCATGGTCAGCTCTGAAAGCTCACAACACCACCACCCGCATCGTTCCCCTCCTTCCAGCGCCACAGCAAGCCAGAAAGCACGCCCAGCTTCCTCATCCAAAGCACAGAAAGAGAGAGGACGTGAAGGCCTCCCCTTCTTCTTCCACACTGTCACTGGCCTCTGGGAGACCCTTAAGCCCCACGGACAAGCTCACCATGGTGGCCACATGCGCACGTCCCAGTGACAGATGGAGGGGGAAGACCTTCAGAAGAACTGACCACAGCAGCAGCAACCTGACCCTGTGTATCAGGAGTGGGCAGCCAGGTCTGAGGTGGTCTTGCCTGGCAATCCACCAGTGAGGAGGAGTAAGGAAGTGAAGGCAGAATCTGTGGGACATTGGTTTTTTCTACTGGCCCTGCCCTCACCACCGGGACAGCACTCCGCAGTGATGGTGCTGCTGCTGAGTCACAGGAACAAGCCATCCGACTAACCCACCAGAGCTCCTCCACCACACCACTCACAGTGCCAAATCCCATCCAGCCTGATCCCGCTGGTACACAAGAAAGGAAGACGGGGTTGGAGATTCAGAATCACCAAAGCAGCGTGTATCTCCTGGAACAGTCAGAAGGCCACCCAGAAACATGCTTCAGCAAAGGACAGAAGCCACCAAGCGTACCAGCAAGGAGTCCCTCATGCCTTGTCCGGAAGGTAATGCTATCCTCAGCACAGGTCCCACCATGGATTTTTGCACTGCAAGTCCATACTGAGACTGTAGACCCCCACAACGAGAAAGGTAGAGAAAGCAGTCGATTGCAGAAGACATCATGCCTCATTTCGCACCGGGCATGAGAAATGAGGATGAGCCGTTGTTCTTACTGGTACCCGTCAGAGGAGAGTCATCACCAGCTTTGCTCAGACCAGCTGTGGTCCTGTACAGGACCTCACGCCCAGGGCTGTCTGTGGGGCGTGTGACGCCTTCAGTGCCCTGTCCTGGTTCATCATCTGTGGGCAGAGGCAGCTGAGTTGTTTCTTCGTGGTGGGCACCATCAGGAGAGGCAACAGATACTACCACGATGTGAGGGGCCCATGCTTCCTGGGTTGTATCTTCTGGTTTCAGAGCATCAGTGGTGGCTGTGACTGTTGTGATGATGGCTAAATTAGCTTCAAAGATATCTACAAACTGTGACCTCACCTGTTTTCCCCATTTACATAACAAGCTCTATATTTTTCTTTTTTTTTTTTAGGCTATATTTCTCATGCTATACCGTGAGAAAAAAAAAACCACAACAATAAACAAGTAGACAGGATCTTCTTTATATGTCACATTAGTTTTTGTTTGTCTGTTCCTTCACTAATACACTATTGATCACTTTAATAGTTGATGATTCATTGCCTAATTTTCAGCATGGGTTAAAGCACACAGAGATTTTCCAAAGATAAGGTAGCAGCCAATTAAACCTGAATATTTGAGACTGACAATATTATCATGTTAAAAAATGTCTTTTAAAGCTTTTTTAGGCATCTCTCTATTTCCATGAGATGATAATAAGAATGTATGCTGGCCTCCCAACAGAATAATTCTTTATTTATTGAAATGGAAAATTAAGGAATTAAATTATTTAATGAACATCTTTCACACATCATTCCAGCTGTGCTAAGACAGCTGCTGATGCAAAAGTGTAAAGATGCCACAAAATAGGGCTAAGAAGTAGGCACAGCTTAAATAAATGCACTTTCAGAACTTCCAAGTGCTCTTAAATATTAAAGGGAATAATAAAGCATAATACGAATTCAAAACTATGGTGCCGAAAGTTAATGTCACTAAGCAAAATGAGAAGCAAAAAGATGCATTCCCATAAAGCAGTATGCTAAAATGTTGGTTTTGGAAATACCTAATTATT